ATTGTTATACAATCTCTCCCCCCAGGTCCACTCCACTATGCAGCCTTCACTCTGGACTCCTGTCATGACAATAATACCTAATCATAAATAACTTTTAAACAGTTATCCTCCTCATCTGTTCCAATGCAGAATACATAATTTATCCCATCTTTCTCAGTCTCCCCCAACCCCTTTGTCAATCCCATTTTACAACAGTGGCACTATGCAGTATTTGTTGTTTTGTGACTGAGATATTTCACTCAACATAAAGTCCTCTAGGATCACCCATTTTGCATATTTCATGAGTTCTTTGTTTTTCAAAGAAGCATAGTATTCCATTATGTGAATATACCACAGCTTCTCTATCCATTCACAGTTTTAACATGCTTCATTATCTACATAAGAAGAAATTTCTCTAAGAAGAAATTAAAATCTTGTCATATCTGGTCTGTGTGATTTACTCTTCTCTTTCCTGTTGAAGAATTATACACAGTTGTCCGTCGCCATACCAACTTTGGCACCTCCTATAGGAAGTGTGTTAGCCCCTGCCCTCAGGATGTAGTGCTTGGTTATGTATGTAACTTACTTTAGACTAACGATGTTCTAGTCTGTGTCTTTCAACATGAGAGTAAATATGCATGGATTTTTATCTAGGGAAAACCATGTGAGAGAGGACAAAGGAACCAAAGAAATTTGGAAAACGCCAAAAGACAGCAACAGGAGTTTCCTTCAAAGTGAAGGACTGAAAGAAGGAAAGTTAAGCAGAAGTATTGTAGGGTGCCAAATAGCCCCAGAAAGATTTATAAATGCCAATGGGTAGTCTCAAACCCAAATTGTTGAAAGTAAGCCCATGTCTCCCAGGACAGGTTGCTTTAGTATTCTAATACACTCTATGTTTGTTATGATCTCAAAGGTCATCTCCTCTTAGGGACCCAATCACCTCACTGGTAAAAGTGAAAATTGGTTTGCGTTAATTAACTCAACCAAAGGTCAATCTTTGATTAATTGCACACTTATCAAAAAACAGTAACTTTCTGTTGAGGGAAGTTCTCTCCACCTCTTGTTCCTCTATTCTTGCTTTTTTGTTTATGGATGTTAAACAGCATTTTTTTTTATTTTCACCTATTTTATTTCAAGATCTAGCATGCCTTATTGACTATGTGCACATCTCCCTAGAGTCACATGTTCTTAGCTGTCCTTCTGTCCTTGACAATCTATATGGCTATTATTTTACTGTGATCGTTTTCATATTGTTATGATGCTGACATCTAGTCCCCTAGTATTTAAAATAACAGCAAGTTGAGCCACTGTTCTAGAACTTCCAGGTTAAGAAAGACTACAAAGAAAGGCCTGATGATCTGGGCTTTCTTTCTCTTTCTCTCTATATGAGAACAGCATGCTTCAAATAGGAACTGTGACTTCAGCCTGTTTCTTGGAATGGGAAAGCCTGCGTCCGTGAACACTTCACATGTGTGAAAAACAAGCCCATTTTTGTCTTGATCCTTGAGCACACTCAATATCTCTTTTCTTGCTACACATTAAGTGAAAGGACAAAGTGGAAATACCTTTAAAAACTCCTCAGGTTGTGTGCATGCACTATTTACATGTATTTTAGGGACTTCTCATGCCTTGCATTTCTGTTACCCTAAAATTGTGTTTCTGAGCTGTAGGTTGATCTATAAGCACAGTTTAAAAATTCTAACAACCTAGAATATTTAAGAAACTGGTAAAAGATGTTATGAAGAAAACAGCTCCCAAAGAATGGCTCTCTCACCCTTCTCTGTTCAAAGCACCACCCATTCTCATCTCTTCTCTACTTCCGTTGATGAATAAAGTGTTCCACTGCATTACAGTCTACATACAAACATTTTCAAACTGTGGTTTATTTCCTATAAAACTCGTGCTCATTATTCATATATTTATCTTTCTCTCCATAAATATCACTTGGCTATCATGTGTTGAGATATTTATGTATAAATTTTGAATTAAAAAAAAATGGAAGTAATTTTTTCCATTTAATAAATTTTCAAGCAGCAGGGTTTTCATACACAACTTAAGTCATTATGTAAAAAATAGATTTAATGTGTTCCTGGTTTTATTCTCATTTTTATTGTTGTTAGGTGCTGTTGAGTTATTTCCAACCCAGCAACATTACAGAACATCGTCAGAACATCGTGCAGCCGGCGGCATCCTCACGGCCTTCACTGTGTTTGAGTCAAGCGTTGCAGCCACTCTTCCAATCCAACTCATTGAAAAATCTTCCCCTTTTTCACTCATCCTCTATTTTACCGAGTATAACGTTCATCTTCAGAGACTGGTCCTTCCTAATATTGCCAAA